ATAAAAATTATAAACAAACGAAACGTAATAAAACAAGCATTATGAAAATGTATACCTAAAAAAAAAAGCATAGGTCAGATTCGAAGCCCAGAGCGCAAAAGCTAATCGAGCATTCTTGACCGCTCAGCTATCGATGACAAACATTCTAACTGAGTCATTAGCCATACATGAACTGTTTAACCAGGTATGAGGGCTTTAATTAAAATTGGAAATTTTTATTCAAATTTTGTTGTTTTAATTATGTTGTAATGGAAGATTATTGTTTTAGTGTGTATTGCTCGGAATTCCGCTTTGGCCTTCTATACTTAAAGAGGATATATTCTATATTCTCTGGTAATGTATAAGTTCTTTTTCATCAGAGCTTAGGTTACATATATCTGCTCTGTTCCCCCACGACCGCCACTCGTGGATACGACTATACCTATATATACGGAAGGGGGCCAACCAATCAGAGGCGTGTAAGAGAGAGAAAGGTTGTACTGCTATTTGTCTTTTGTCTCTCTCATCTCGTCTCGCGGTCCGAGCATACAATGCTTCCTCCATGTATATATTCTCTAAGCACGTTGCTAACGGTTGGGGGTCAGTCATAGACACATAAGAAAAATAGACTGCTCGTTCTAATGTATGGCGCTGAAGTACAAGTAGAAGAAAACACACCATTGAACGTGGGTGTCTCTCTCTCTCTCTCGTACCTTACTACCTTAGACAATGTGCGAGAGACAGATACCCACGTTCGATGTCGTGTCTTTTTCTACTTGTGCTTTAGCGCCGTACTTAAGGGGGCTCCTACGACTACTGCTGAGGTCAAAGACAAACAAAAAATAAAGTTTTGTTTTTCAATAAACAAATGTGTCTGGAAATCATTATGATATTTTTAATAACATATGAAGTGGGAAAAATGATATTTATGTCTGTAGTTTAACTTTGTACGAAAAATTAATTATTGTTTTGACCAGTCTAGTGCATACGAGGGTACACCACCAGACCAGACCACCTGTGTTGGTGTAGTATAGCGATGTAATATATAGGTATATGGTATATATATGTCGTGAACAAGTACGTCTGCTACCCACGTGACCTCCTGACCTCCCGGAGACTATTTATTTATTTCCATCACAAATATCTCGCTAAAATGGTTCTTTAACCACAATTTTTAATACAGCATATTACAGAAGAAGACTTCATCTACAAAACGTTTATATTCAGTCTGCTGGGACATTTAATTTAGGTTTATTATTAACGAAAACAAATTGTTTTTCACGCTGCCTCATAGGGACACGTGCTAATAGTTACAACTTTAAGCTCAGATTTCTCAAAATTTTGACACATTCGAAATATAATTTAGACCACCATTAAATTCAGTAGACTTTTATTTACAAGAAGTAATATATCTCTGTTTGGGGACTCTCGTGAAGGAGCCCCTTTAAGAACGAGTAGTCTTTATTTTTCATATGTCTATGGGGTCAGTAAACTAAGGCTAGCTGACGCAACCTCTCCCTACTGTTGGCAATGTGCGAGAGAGACAGATATACACGTTCAATATTGTGTCTCTTTCTACTTTTGCTTCAGCGCCGTACAAAAGAACGAGCAGTCTACTTTTTATATGTCTATATGTGTGCTGCCAGTTCTGCCAGACTGCTAGAGTGGAGCGCGTGCGTTTTCTCCCTCAGTGCATATAACTATTTATGAGAATAAAAGGTTTGTTCATTGATGCACCTTGAAGCGCTCCGAGGCGACCGAGCGATCTATAAATGAACACGAGTTCTTTGTCGGAGAACTCGGAGGAGTCGGAGGCATAGAGATATATAAGAATAGAGGAGAAAAGGGGGCGTGATGTGCGGCGGCAGAATTCGCTACGTAACGGGGCATCTATCTTTGTCTGGCAGTTATGTTATTGGTCAAGTCCTACATGAGATTGAATCAACTGTAGGATTCAGGACGAAGAAGTAGCCAATGACGGTTTTGGCAACAAGGACAAATGCCCCGTTACACTTAATTATGTTGTCGCTGCCGCTAAAGGGCTAGTAATGCTAGTATTGCGCTTTTCCCCTCTATTCTTGTACCTCTATGGTCGGAGGCCTCCGAGACATCTTTATACTATATAGGTTCACTAACTATAACTGCTCATTGTTCAGAAACATCAGTAAAAAGCGGTGAGTATACCTATATAGTATAAAGACGTCTCAGAGGCTTCCGAGTTCTCCGACAAAGAACTCGTGTTGATTAATAGATCGCTCGGAGGCCTCGGAGCGCTCTGAGCGCTCCAAGGTGAATAAATGAACAAACCTAAAATATGACAACAGTGTTTTGGATCTCCACGATTCAAGAAGTTCCTTAATTTTGTCTAATGACAGTACTTAATGACGCGGCTTGTTAAAATTTTAGACCACCTTTAAGCCTTAGGCCGTGGTCACATGGAGAGCGTAGCGCGTGCCGCGTAACCATTACCTCGCGTACTTTACCTCTCTCTCACTCTCATGGGCTAAAACGGTTACGCGGTACGCGCTACGCTCTCGCGGTGTAATCCGCAATCATCACCAGCAGTTGCATATGTGAGACGTTACAACGTTCTGTAACTGCTGGTGGTGATTGCGGATTACACCCCATGTGCCCGCGGCCTTAGCTTTAGTAATCGAACACATCTAGTTGTAACCTTCCAGGCTTCTTATGAAAAATTGTCTACTTTTTCAGTGATGCAAAATATTAATCATCTAAAATAGTTACGAATCCATATTGAAATAAACTTTAAGATTGAAACAAGAATTTTAATAAAAGTTGCCTGAATAGTTCATTGTTATCTAAATAACGCTTTATCCATTTGACTGGTTTTTATACAAGGTTTTAAATACTTCCTAACTGATTCAAAATGTCTTTAGCTGATAAACTTTTAGCAGATCTTGAAGATGATGCTGATATTCAAGAAGAAGAAATACTAGAACAGTTTTTCCCAGCATCCTTGTCGTCATCTAAATTAACAGAGAAAGGTGAGCTTATTTTTTTTCCTCATTTACAAACCATCTACTGTTAACTGTAAATTTGAACAGATATAATGACCATGTATGTTTACCAATAACATTAAATTTGGCAGAAATTAAAGTTGATTCAATTAAAGAACTTGCAAAGTTGCGAGACTCACCATTAATGCGAAAAGTCACATCCAGTATTGACAGTTATAGTAAAATTACAAGAAAATCTGTGGACATTGTTGGTCCAGTAGAATCTGACCCAGAATATCAGTTAATTGTTGAAGCTAATAATTTGGCTGTTGAAATTGATACTGAAATTGGTTTGTTAGACAACAGCAGTCTGTCTTATCGATTATACTGCACTATTATATTAATAGAAAAATATCCTTTTAGCTACTATACATAGATTTACAACAAGTAAATACTCCAAAAGATTTCCAGAACTTGAATCCTTAGTTGTTGAACATTTAGAGTATTTAATGACTGTCAAAGAATTAGGTAATGACTTAGATAAGGCTAAAAACAATGAAATTCTACAAAAGTTTTTAACTCAGGCTACTATTATGGTTGTATCTGTAACTGCTTCTACAACACAAGGGTGATTATCTTGTTTTTATTAATAACTTTTTAAATTTCATTTTAATACGTTTTTTCTGCAGTGCCCATTTATTAAGAAAAAGTAAGTCAATTGAAGGTAAAACAATAAATTTTTTAAAACGTCAATTTTAACCCTACTACTTATGAAAGGTAGTTATGAGGATGTCTTTCGATTTAGATTTCTACTTTTGAAAATAGTAATATTGTTAACTCAATATAATAAGTGATTGATACCAGAAAATTATTTTTTTGAAGAGATGGAATCATTAAAACTACTTTTTATAAATAGTTATTAAACTTGGCCATTTTAAAAACAAAATAATTCACTATTTTCCCTTTTAAATTACCTTTATATTAAATTCGACTTACATGGACAGCCAATATTTATGCATCATATTTACCTAATTTAATTTTGTATTCTACATCTGTAAAAGAAGGGAAGTTTGCTTTCATTAATTCAACAGATAAATTTATACAGAAAATTTATAATTTAGATTAGTTCATCAAACATCTATTATTTGAAAATGAAGATTCTGTATATGAATAAATTTATTTTTATTTTCTACGGCACAGGCAAGAACTTACACAATTAGAGTTACAAGCTATTGAAGAAGCATGTGATATGGCTATAGAGCTGAACAGCTTAAAACAGAAAATATTTGATTACGTTGAAAGTAGGATGGCTTTCATAGCTCCAAACTTGTCAGCCATTGTTGGAGCTTCAACTGCTGCAAAATTAATGGGTTTGTAATTATAGTGTTTTTAAATCTATGACTTTTTTCAGTCGTTCTGTAAATTCTTATAACAAAAAAAAAAAAATTCAATTCCATTAAACACTCCTAGGAGTAGCTGGAGGACTGACTAAGCTATCAAAAATGCCTGCTTGTAATATTCTATTATTAGGTGCCAAAAAGACTACTCTTACTGGCTTTTCACAAGTAACAGCTTTACCTCATACCGGGTTTATTTTTTATTCCAAAATTGTTCAGGATACAACTTCAGTAAGATTGTATTAAAATATATTAAAAACGTAGATGTTAATGTGGTCTGCAAATAGAAAGTAAAAGGATGTTATAACTACAATGGTTTATTTAATCTTGTAGGACTTATGGAGAAAAGCTGCGAGACTTGTAGCTGCCAAAAGTACACTGGCTGCTCGTGTGGATGCTTGTCATGAAAGCACAGATGCACACATTGGTGAACAATTACGAGAAGAAATAGAGAAGAAACTAGACAAACTATTAGAGCCTCCTCCAGTAAAGTTTGTCAAACCATTACCTAAACCTATTGATCCGGGTAGAAAAAAGCGTGGTGGTAAGAGAGTTCGCAAAATGAAGGAACGATACGCTATTACAGAGTTCAGAAAACAAGCTAACAGAATGAATTTTGCGGATGTAAGTATACTAGAATACGCCATTGTAATGTACAATAATTATTTATACCAATTGTGTACAATTGAAAAAAAAAAAAAAAAAAAACAAGCGAAAATTTCATTTATTTCGGAGTTTTAGGGAAAATGAGGGTATGGGTCCCGAGACTCGTTGCAAAAGTGAAAGATCAAAGTATCATCCCCATTCATAAAAAAACTATATTTGTAGATGTCAGATAGAAAGCAATACTTCAATGTGTGATTTTCACTTTACCTTAATTAACTTAACTAATCAAGCCTTTCGCGAACACAGCTTCGATGTATTGTTAGGGTGCGTTTAGACGCAACATCAACAGAGTGTGCAATGCAATTAACGCAATACTATCTAGATAGAAGGCGGAAAAAGTACTGCTATTGCAGCCGAGAGAAATTGAACAGTGTGCCCTGTTCACATATAGGGCGTCAATACTTTTCTGGAATCCATTCGAATGAGCGAGTGCGAGAGAGAGGGCACATAATTCGTCATCTCTATCGCACTCGTGCATTCAAATGGATTGCAGATTGCTACTGACGCGCGATGTGAACAGGGCACACTGATCAATTGCCGTTTGCAAGGGAGGTAATGGACAGCTATTTGTTTGACATGTGTCTAACGCATATTTGTAAGTTATAACTAAAAAGGGGAGACGAATTATTTCGGAATTCCGGGATCGGAATTTTCAGAATCCAAATTACCAAATTAGTATTGCAGCACCACTGCATAAGTTGTTACGATCGGACATAAAATTTGAAAGGATGAAAAACGAAAATAAGGCTTTTGAAGCTCTAAAAGAGACTCTAATTAAGAAGCCAATTTTGCAGCCGTTCAAATCGAATCGAGAAACCGAACTGCACACGGATGCAAGTGCGCGAGGGTTGGGTGTAAACCGTTGAACAAGTGAGACCGAAAGGAATTATTATTTCAGTAAGCTTGAGCTGCCCGTAGTAATCTGATGTGTATCACATTTACGACCCATGTTAACAAATATTCGTTTTAAAATAGTAACTGATTGTCAAGCATTATTATTTCATTATACACAACGGACGCGGAACACTTAAGCTGTAAGGTGGCATTATTTACTAAGTGTAGTATATTAAGGGAGGGGTAAATACACAATAACACACGCACGTTGAACTTACTAGTAGCTTTATTGCTTATAAGGTACACACGAAGAATCGAACGATGAGCCGTTATGAGGTTAGAGAATCTGCCTCAAGCATGACCACACAGTGCTGTAGTCAGAGGTTGTCTCGCGGGAATGTGCCTGCTGCCCACAGCCCGAGTTGCACACGAACGCTCATCCACCACGCCACACACCCGACATACCACGCGCACATACACGTATTTACACCACAATCCTTATAAATGAACACAACTTTATGGGAATTACAAATTGTGTATATCACGGGGTTTTGAAATACGCGTCAATCGCCTCGGTTCAATGCTTTGCTGCACAGTTTTGTTTTTTCTAGCATCGCTATGAATCGGTTCGGGTGTGCTTACACTGGCCTTCGCATATACCGCATCGCTTGCGTTATGATCGCCCACACTCAAATCTCGCACTTCCAAAATGTCAACATGGGATTTGTTTTTCCCCGTAGCAGAAGCCACTAAAGAGTAATTAATTGGAGGCAGTTTACATTCTTTTAAACGGTTGACGTGGCGTCTCCAGACCAAATCATATTCTGTTCCAACCGTATATGACTTGGGGCCCATTCTCTCAACAATTTCAGATTTTTTTCAATTGTTTTTGCTAAAATCTTTGGCTATTACTGTTTGTCTTTCGTTAAACACAATGTTTCTATTGCCCGCGAAATCTCTCTTTTGTGCCTTCTGCTTTTGGTTTACTTGAATTTCCATTGACACTCTTAATAAATCGAGCCACGTTTTGAACTTCCTACCAATTTGCAACTCCGCAGGTGAAATTCCCGTGGTGACGTGCGGAGTAGATCTGACATGAAACAAAAATTTAGCTAAGGCTTCCCTTTTTGGCAAGCGAAGTACTCCCTGAGAGCAACTATAGTATATTTTGACGAGATGTCCGGAACTGCCTTGACGTCGACCCACTTGGAGTGTACATCCACTACAATAAGATACATAGCGCCGTCAAAGGGGCCCAAAAAATTGGTGTGTAGGCGAATCCCTGGGGCTTCGGGCCAGTCCCTGACATGCAGGCTGGCTTTCGAAGGATTTCCCGCGAATTTCAAACATAATTCGCATTTCATGGCCAAATCCTCTATATCCGTGTCTATTTTTGGCCACCATATATATGACCTAGCCAGGGCCTTTATCTTTACCACCCCCATGTGGCCGTCGTGAAGTTCATTTAAAACGGATGAACGGAGCGACTCTGGAATTATCATCCGGTGCCCCCACAATAAACAGCCGTTCTCCAAAGACAATTCGTGCTTCTTACGCTTGAACGCCTTGAATTTGTCGTTAATTTGCTATGGCCATCCGTATTTTATATAATTAAAGACGGCTTCTAAAATGCGACTAGATTTCGTGGCGGCCTGCACGTCCTGTGCGGAAAGAAAATTTACACTATCGGTTACAAATTTTAAATAAGAGTATTCAGTCGCTGCGCTTTTGGTCACAGCTTTACCACTTAAACGTGACAAACAATCTGCAGAGCTATTTTTATTTCCCTTAACGTGTTAAATATTGCAATCATAGCCAGAAAGAAACACCGCATAACGTTGCAACCTGCTCGCCGACATTTGCGGAAGACCTTTTTTACTACCAAATATAAAAATAAAGGGCTTATGGTCTGTAACCAGTAAGTTAGACGAGTATAGAAAAGCTCAGTCAGAGCGGACTCTCGAAGAAGAGAACAAATAGCTGCGCGATACGCTGTTAAAAGCCAATGAAAGTATCGCAAACTTGACACGAGTAAGCTCAGCCTTTACAACTTACCAGAGCCAGTCACAAATGAGGAATATGACGTTCCAACACTCATGAGAAGGACAAAGCGACAACGTGCCGGCGAGAAGGCGTGAAACAATATTCAGCGAGCTGGCCTTTGCAAATCTCTCAGGATCGCAAGCTACACTACTCGGAAACAGTCGATTAAGTGTAGCTATACCGTCAACGTCGTCACATATTTTAGCGCCACCACCACACACAACGATCGAACCCTTAGAGCTACATGCACCAGTCGGCTGGGTGCAAGTGATATGCCTGGTATGCGCGGTAACAAGTGCATACACGGCATCGGTAAGCTACCCGCAAATGAGTGGATACTCAACGGCGCCACCTGCGCGTACAACGCAGACACAAGCGTTCATGACGTGGCCACATACGTATGCGGTGAGCTCGTAAACGTGCCCGATGTACTTTAACCTGCCCCCGTATTCGGCTGCACCACTCGACTCCATACGTCAAGCTTGGTCGGGGGGGGATCTCTCGCCTCCAGTGGAAATACAGTCGGGGTCAGGCAGGTCGTACGTCGACTCTGGATGCCGGGACTTAGGACAAATTGTCCGGCGATGGAACGTAAAGTTCATGGGTGAAAGTCACGACAATTTCGACACTTTTCTCACGCGCATTACCGAGTGCCACGCGGCCTCGGGTGTGACGGAAGTAGAGCTTTTTCAAGCTCTGCCGGAACTTATGATCGGCATTGCAGCGACGTGGTTCCGCAACAAATGCGACCAATGGATCAGCTGAGCCGATTTTGTAGCTGCAGGGCAGGAGAGGTAAGGCTCAGGCGAAGAGGTTCAACGCCGTCTAACGTCAGATGTGCAAATGCGCACCCAGTACGCTGGTGAGCCTGTACGAAATTTCTTAACACAGATTAAGAATATCGTGCGACGAATTCAACCTCCATGGCCGGTCGAACGTCAGTTGGACCTGTTCCACAGGAATATGCGTCATGAGTTACAGGATCGAATCCGATGAGACGAGGTACGCAGCATGGCAAAGCTACTGCGAAGAACCACCGAGGCTGAGCGCCTCTTGGAGCTTAGGAGTGTGTTCCATGAACCATCCTCATCTGAACACTTTTACCTGCCAGAACCGGCGTACAAGCCCAAGGCTAAGGCTACAGGGGCCAAGAAACAGCCAAGGATTGCGGGTATAAGCGAAGCCCAACCGTTGAATGCCAGTTCACAAGAGATAACGGCCATCCGCAGCGTACAAGCTGCCCTTCGAAAAGGAATCGAAGAGCTGCCAAAGAAATTGGCTAATCCTCCTAAGGTAGCCGTGTTCGATATGATGGACGAGTACTCGGCAGAAATAATCGGTAAGAAGAAGGTCAGAAAACTTGCTATTGACGAGGATATGGTGAAGCTGCTGCTTGACCTTCTTTATGTCGAGAAGCGTCGAACAGGCCTGGCTAAATATGCCAATGAACAAAAGCAGAGCTCCCGCTCCTCAAACGGTCCCAGTCAACAGGGGTGACGATCACCCTCACCTCCTTCGCCCAAGAGAAATGGACGCTGTAGTTCGGGTTCGCGCTCACTGAGGTGGAACCCGAACGTGGGGTCAGGCACGAGAGATCCTGGCACCCGGAGAGACAGGTCCCCTTCGCAAGAGTCACAGCCGCGCTGCTATAAATGCAATCACTTAGGCCATTATGCTCGGGACTTTACTAATAAAACGCTGGGTAACGAGAGGAGGCAGACGTAAGCGAGGGTATAGCGCCGCCTCTCTCTCCCAAACCCTCACAGACCGCGGTAGCATCGGAGGAGGCGCGCCGGTGGTGGCTACAGCTTTAAGTAGCCGGGTACAAGCTGCGAGCGCTATACGACCCCGGTGCTACCCACACCGTCATGCGAGCAGTTGGGATCCAGATAGTGAACTCCTGCGGTCGTCAGCTCTGCCCCACGCTAAGAAGCGCAGCGATGGCCGACGGATGGCCGTCTCGACCTTTAGGTCTCGTCACTCTACCTTTCGAACTAGGAGAGGTTAAACGGGACGTGGACGTCACTGTACAGCCCGAGTTAGACGCTGATTGCTACGTCTGCGCTAACTTTATTAATGCT